TAGAAGATTCACTGTAGATTTTGCATTTCTTCAACGCCATCATTTTAGACTGATATTTTTATCAAGCGTGTTGGTCATGTTTTGAATATGACGTTCTTATCAATGGCTTAGAGGATTTGGATAACTCACGCTAGAGCATAGGAAAACCATTTTTAGAATTTAAATCAGGATTCTATCGATACTAAACTTTTGGAGGTGAATTTTTTGTTTACACTCGGTACTCTTCAACACCATTTAGCAATGACTTAGACTGAGTTTATGTTATTATATTTGAAACATATCACTTATGAGCTTCGCTCATGGAAACTTTTGGAAAGTAGGATCCAGGTCAAGGGCTTTTAAAGAAGCTGATTGGGGACACACTTGCAAAGGTATCCGTAACATGAGATCAGTACTTTTCCTCAAGAATCTTGAAGTGCAGTTTCAAACTTCACGTCTTTTATCCTATAGGACTTGCTGAGAAACTTTCTATTCAATGGAGTTGACGAACTTGGAAGCAAAATGTTCCTTGATTACTTCCCAGAATTCCGCAGCAAGGATGGCACTGTAGATAAATACACAGCATTGTAGGAAAGTCTTATGAAAATCGCCCTTGGGATGCAAGAGGAGAATTTATTGGCAGCTGATTTCACTATCCGGTTTTGGTAAATTGCTGTTTTCTTTTCATCTCTTCTATTGGATCTCTTACCCCTTTTTTCTTCTCAATTTTGGCTTCCCATCATCTGATATTTTTTGTTCTTTGATCTTCAATGTAATATTTATTACTGGAAAAGTAATTGCTTATAGTGGATCATGGGTATCAACGAATCACTAACTGGTTGAAGATTCAAAGCCCTAATCTAAGTAGAAATACCGCCTTTAATGTTGTTGTTGCATCTTAGGAAAAAGACAAAAAAGGCCCCTTGGAGCTTTAGCAAAGGTCATGAGTCCGACAAGCTCAGATCCTATGGCTGCCCAGCAAATGTACTTTGTATCAACCTGGTGCCAGTGAAAAAAAAGTTAAAGGTATTTTTTTTCCTCATGCAATTCATCTTAAATGATATATATTGGTCCAATTTCTGCATGGACTAAAGCAATTATATTGTCCCACTGAAAGACAAATTGACGTGTAATGAGTTTCAAAATTTGAGGGACCAACTTGCTTACAGAAATAAGTCCATGGACTAAAGCATTAGGGGAGAGATCTTTTAAGAACCCAATTTTGTATTTAGATTAATTGATTAAATATCTGAATGGTTGTGGTGGTTTCCTTAATGAGTGAATAGGGTAGATAATTAGATACAGTCCGATATGTGGCAAGTTTAATGTAATGATAGGGAAATGTAGGAATTTTTTTAATGTGATAAATAATTTATTTTAGCAGCAAAAGAGAAATTGGTGCAAAGTCAGAAAATTTAATATAGAAGATTTAATTGTTGTTGTTGGTATTTTGACTTAAATAATGTTAAAAGGCATTTATCTGTGTGTGTGACCTTGAAAATAATAATAATATTAAAATAAATAATAACATATTTATAAATTTTAGAATAAATGTAACAAGATGTGCTAGTGGTTTGATGGAACTAGAGCGGTAGCCTGACTTGCTTCAAACCTAACCTAACTTATTTACTAAATAGGCTTAGGCAGGTTCGAGCTTTTAATTAGGCTTATTTAGTTAAATAGGCAAGATTTATTTTTTAAAGACCTAGTATACGAGTTCAACAAGCTGGCTTATTTACACACACATATTATAATATATTACAATTACATCAGTTTCATCATTTGATTTTTAATCAATTTATTCTTTTTTTTTTAATTTCTAGTTATTTTTTCAATTATATTGGACTTATATATTAATTTTAATGTTGTTACTTTATTATTGTATTGCATTATAATTGATAAGTCCTTTCAATTATAATATATTGTAACTGATAAATTAGTCGGATATTGTAATAGTCCTAAAGTATGTTTGATACCAAATTGCTCCTGTTGGGGGAAAAACACATCATATCAGATTTTTTCATCTCTCCCCAATTTTTCTATTTTCTGCGTCTATGATCAGAGAGGGAGAGCTGGAGAGAGCGCTTCAGGAATTCTTTTCCTCCACTCTTCATCTCTGCTCACCATTCTTCTTCCCTATTGCCGGCAAGTGAGCTTAGTGGCTGTCGCTGCTACAGATCAAGTGGGGGTGTTGGAACTGTCGAATTCTCCTTCCTCCTCCCTGTCTGCACTACCGGGCTCCTCCTTCTCTGTCCGACATCATACTGTTTTGGTGTGAATGAGGGAACTTCGATTCCTTCTTTTGATTTCTCCTTTACTTCGTTGTGAGTATTGATCCCCTCTCTTCTCTCCCTATTTTCGAATATGTATGTGCATTGTGATTTGGGCTGGAAGTTCAGTCCTTGATTATTTTCTTTTCTGCCTACTATGTGCTTGTATGTGATAAACTGGAATTTCTCTTCTTTCTTGCTGCTGGACGTTGAAAATTTAGAGTTTCTTTTAGCTAGCTTCGAGGAACAAGAAGCTTGGGGATGTAGTTTGAATGCTAACGCACATGAGATGTTTGGAAAAATATGTAGAAGAGTTGGAATGGAATAATTAAGTATAAAGACTAATATTATGGATTCAGGTTCAGTTTTAATAGATTTTAATTTATTCTTGATAAAGAAATGAATTTGGAAATCATAGAAAATCTACATAGATGTTTGGAGAAATTTTTGGGAAAGATATTTAAAAGTAAGATGGCTGATTGTATAGTTTGATTTGGGAAGCACGTAAGGTGCTTGAAGGAATGTATGAAAGGAGAATTTTAGTTTACGGTGGCATATAAATATGATAGATGTATTCTTGTTGGGTAAATTATTATGGCAAGCAATTATTCTTTAAAATGAAAGGTTGGGCACGAAGTTAGAAAATTTTGGGGAAAAGAGGATATTTGTTTAATAATTCAGGGACCAAGTTTGTTTATTCTTATGTTAGCTCTTGGTTGCATGTAAAAAAAATGTTTGTGCATGGCAGATTATGAATGAATACAAATGATTGATAACGTTGAATAAGTTATGGTAAAAGTTGTCTACTTTCTAGAGATAGAGTTGGAATTTTGAATATTATTTATGTAAGTGTTTGTTGAAGATTTATTGATTAACTCTTATTTGTGAGAGGTTGATGTAGATTCTCTTTTCCAATTCTGTAAATTTGTTTGGATTGAAGATTTTAGAGTTATAAGTGTATAAAAAGAAATAACAGTAATGTCCCTCTGGGCATTAGGGAATTAAGACATAGACAATATTACAGAGTGGCTAATTAGGAGTAAGTTATGTGTTTGGGAATGTTTTAAGTAAGTGGATAACATCCTGATCAATCTTATAAGTATATGTCATGACTTCAAGAGCTAAAGTGATGCAATTTAAAAAAAAATAAATCAACACTAGTTTAAAAAAAAAACATCAATACTTTTATTTGATAAAAAACAATCATGAAAATTGGTGAAGAAGTTTTTGAAACATTAATTGTGAATTTTCATATTTAAAATAATTGATGTTTTAAATAATTCATGTGAGTTTGTTATTAAGAAGAGAAAATTATATTTTAATCAATGATTATTTTCTTACATGCTTGAAATGTGATTTTGAGAGGATTATAAGCAGAATATTGATTGCTAATGGCAGTTTTGTTAGTTTGTTGCGCTATGGTTAATGATTAGTTAGTTTGACTTTCGTGAGCTTTATCCTCACGTTCATTATACGCGGGTCTCATTCTGCATTTGATTTTGTGGCTTTCAGTTACGTTTGGTTATTATTACTCTCATAGACATAATGCACGTTTGTTTTTTAGCTCAGGTTGTGTTTAGTCACTTACTCTTGTGGATTGTGTGTTAATATTTATCTTCATAGCATAAGTCACGTTGGGTCTATTTTTGTTACTTGTTCTGTTAAGTCTTAAAAAAAGTAAATTTTAATTGTCTTATTTATGGATTTTCTCTAGTGGTTTTAATTTATAAATGTTAATACATTTTCTATTTATAGATCTATTCAATTTTTTGAAGGCGAGCGTTAAAGAACTTCATTTATTTTAAACTAGCTGCTGTTGAATTTATGTTATATGAAATATTTTAAGTGATTGTGTTATATTGAATTATTCCATTTCTATTTGTGTATAAGAATCCATTACGATTGTTCATATGTATTCATTTAAATTTCATTATTAGGACATTATTTATTTGAAAGATTTTTGGCGTCAGATGATGTAGCTGAACCTATGTCTCAAGGTGTTCATTGAGTTGTTTTATCTATCATTAAATTGGAGTGGAAGAATTATTTTAGGCAAATTCAATTTGATGTAAATTTTATCTTGTATAAATTTCTTCGCCTAGTCCTAGGTGTTCCATGAAGGCTATAGGGAAAATCCTCATCTTCCTTATAAGATTCTATAATTATTGGTAAGGAGCGGAGCCCCTCTATTTCAAATGTTCTTTGTTAGGAAATCTGGAGATGTCTCATTTTAGAGAGAATTATCCATTGAAATTTCTATAGGAAATAATAACTTTTGTTTGAATGAAAAGTATTGTAAAAAATTAACTAATAATCATATTTCTATATTAACTGTGTTTATAATTTAAAATTTAAAGTTTCTTGAGTTAACACTGATGAGATATGAGTTTTGTATTTTATCCCATGCCGGTACCTTATATTTTGGGGCATGACATTTAATTTCCCAATCCTTGGAAAACTACTTATAAAATATGTTTTCTCTATAGAAGTTTTAAATTTGTTTCGTATATGTTTTATCTTTTATGTAAGGGTAAGTTACTCTTCTTCTCCCATGAAGTATGTTCAGATTACAAGGTTCTTTTGTCTGTTTTCAAAATATAAATTCTCTCCTTCACCTGGTATGCATCTATTACAAATTTTTCTTATTTTGAAACCTTATGTTTAAGTAAAACAAACAGAACATGTACCTCAAAGTTATACACATTAGCACCAAACATGACAATGCAAGTACCTAACGTCCGCACGATACAATTCAAAATCTAATTTCACAATCCCTTTTTCATATTCAATAGAACATCAAATCAATTTCATTGGTTGTGAGGGCCAAACAAGGCTTGAAGCAAAGAGCTGACTAAGCATATACCTTAAAAATTGCTAAGGGGACCAAAAAAAAAAAAAAGTAAGAGACAAGCTCAAATTCATACAAGTTTATTAGCTACTCTCATATCAATTTCAGGATGGGAGAGTAGAGGAAACTAGATAAGCTCTTAGCCTGTATCTAGCCCTTGCTTCTTGAATGTCTTAGGCAATTCCCAGTTCCCGCATGTACATAACCTATGAAAGAAGTTACAGAGATATCAATTTTTACTAAAAAAAAACTTATGCAGAAATTTGTCAACTATATATAGAGTATCAACTTGTGTAAAGAGGCATGTATAGCATTTATGGCTGCGTGCATGTGTGTATACATTTTAGAAAAAAAACATAATTATTGGCTGCTTTATCTTTAGCATGTTTTGATATTGGCCCCTTTACTCTTTTTTTTTTTTCATTGCTTTAAATCTCTTAAGTTTCATTTGTCTAGAACGTTAATAGTTATATATTTTAAATATGATTATTTTTGTGTTGGCTTGTTAGACTTATGATGAGTTGTATAAAAAATGAGTAAAAGACCAAAAAAAAAAAAACAAAACAAAACAAGAAAATGAAAAAGAAGAAGCAAGACATTAAATAAAAAGTCCTTAAATATGTAATGGATGATGCTTCAAAAGGAAGAAGACAAGATATATAGGGCAAATAAGCAGAAAGGTTACTAACCATTTTACTCATATAATGTCTAACTTATTGAAAGTTTGCCAAGTTAGCAACAGAAGTAACAACGTTATGTATACATCAGCAAATTTAACTTGTGTACACAACTTATAAAGGAAGAGGTTTAAGAAATATCAAATTTTACCAAATAAAAAATTATGCAGAAATTAATCAACTATAGTATCAACTTCTGTATAGAGAGGTATATATAGCAGTTGTGTGTGTGGGTGGGTGGGTGTATATTCTATCAAGGTTCTTTTATACTTAAAACAAGCCTAATAATAAAAAATTTATGGGTAAAAAATATGCAAAAAAACAAGAGCAATGAAAAGAACGATATTCAATCCAAACACTTTTAAGAAGCACTCATACCAACGAAATACTGTCTGTGCATCATCTTTTGGAAGTCTACTTGGTATTGTTTTGTAAAATGATTCAGTAAACATCAGATATCTAAGCAACTATACTGAAATAAACAAAACATGTACCTAGAAACAGAGACTAGAAATTAATATACCTTAGCACCAAGTCTGAAAGAGATGCTCAATGGAATGCCAAAAGTTTGAAATCCACTCCCAACAGCTACGGCCTTCTTTATTCTCAACTTCATTGGGATTGCTTAAGTTGTTACAATGAATCTCAACTTTATCTCTGGTTTTTTGGTATCTTTTGACATCTCTGCACAACAACCACACTTTCTTGTTTTAAACAGTACTAACTTAATATTTACAGTAAAATGATACTCCTATATTATCTATAAAATTTACATATTTCTTAATATGAGACATTTTACAAAAAAAAAAACGTAAATTTTGAGTTTTTTTTTTTAAATGTCCTTTACAAATCCTACATCTCCTTTAAACATGTGATTGTACATAAGATCAAATTTGGCATTTGATAGACTATTGAAACTAAATTATGTCATACAAGTATCACCAAAATTAAACAACACACGAAAAATAAGAAAAACTTTGTAAGACATGAAAACAAGGAATAATATAAAATATAAACTTTCAATTAAAATAAAAATGTGTGTCATACGTACCTTGAAGCACTTGTTCTCATTTTATGCACTTTGTTAGGTGGCTTGGCGTTTTGGGCTAACTATGATTCCATCATTGATGCTACTACAACACTCATTCCATGTTTCAACATCTTCTTTACACACCACACGCCATCCACACTTCCTTACTTTAGACTTCGGTGACTCATCATTTCCCAATGTCTTAAGTCCAGTAAAAAATACCATTTGAAGTTTGTTTACAACTAAAGAGGAACAACGAATATATATAATACAGAGTTGACGGCTCCAATCTGCCTGTAACACAATGACAGAGCAACCATACGTATTTGGAAATTCATCATTAGGAAATCTGGATGTCCACCAAACAGCATCAAACTCTTCGTCATTTGCCAAATCGTTTTCTATCACTAAGCATGTGGCTATGCCCCACCATTCACTTCTTCGACAATATTCAGGCGTGCTTACTATGAATGACACATTTCGATCATTGAGTTCTTTCTCACAAAAGTAGTCTTGATTATGAAACCATGATGGCACTTCACTACCAGGAATGATTAATTGGCGACCGGGTTGCATGAAGTCAGGCTGTGACAAAACAAGTAGTAAGTCTTAGAAGTATAATTATTAATGTGTAAGAATTGGAAAAAATATACAGATCAAATATATATTCAATGTCCAAAAAAAAAAAGAAACTCGTGTAATTAAAAATAAAAAAAAAAAACTCACAATTTGTGAATCCCATGTAAGAATTCCAGACACGTGACTTAAAAAGAACACTTTATGTCCTTCAGAATCATCTAATATTGAGAAATCATTGATATTATGAACCTATAAGGGAAAAATTGGCTATATTAAAGAAGTATAGTGATTAATAATGTGAAAGAACAAGTGAAGACAAATAAAATAAACCTGAGATTGGAATGAATCAATGAACTCCCATAGTTTCTGCGAACATATGTAATGTTCCATTGATGGACTACCATTTGCCCAAATAACTGATAGATTTGACGGAAGTTGTGGCAAGGACTTAAGCATTGGGCAATCAAAGAGAACAATCCATTGAAGCTTCGAAAGATTGGAAATGAGGCCAGATGGTAAGTCAATGAAATTGTTTCCACTTAAATTTAATGTTGCCAATGATGCAAAGCTGCTAATGTTATCAGGAAGTGATCCATCATAGAGATTGCAACACTCTAAATGTAATTCGGTCAAGGATGAAAAAGAAGGGGACAAGAAAAGATTTATTGAGTTTGAAGGCCTTTGAAACCCAAATGCCTTCCTGAGAAGGGAGAAGCGACTCCATGACGTTAAAGAATGTGCTTGACCATTGTACTCACAAATTGATTGTGCCTCTTTAGAAATTCGACAACCCACATCAAGCACTTCCAAAGCCCCATTTTCATTCAAATCCTCTGGCATCCTTGAAAGCTTTGACCAACCAGAAATTGTTATAATGTTCCTAGCTATCAATTTACAATCATTATTTGGAAGGCAAACCAGATTTTTGCAGCCTGACAAATCTAGTTCAGCAAGACCAATCAAATTGCCCAGTGATTCAGGTAGCTTGGATATAGAAGTGTCCTCTAAATCAAGCTTAGAGAGACATTTCATATCCTTTCCAAACTCAGGAAGTTTTCTAATTTTTGAACAACCAGATAGAACAAAAGTCTGTAAACGATCCATCTCAAATTTTCTTGGAAGGATTTTAACTTTTATGCAGCCTTTCAAATTAACAATGACAAGATTCTTGTGTTGCCCAAGGGACTGGTGAATTTCAACAAGGTTAGAACACCCTTTGAGAATCAATCTTTCAAGATTAGGAATTCCATCAAAATTTGGGGTTTTGATTAGGTATTTGGAATGAGATAAATCAATGGACATCAGCCTTTGTAGAGACTTGAAAAGAAAAAAAGAAACAAGAAAACAGTAAGTCGTCAAAACCAAAAGCTAGTTATAATATTAAGTGTATTACATTATGGACAAGCAATTAAAATGGAAGGACCATAATTACCTGTGTTCCTCTCCAAAGTTGTTTTAACTTGCTATGTCGCATTTTTAGATGAACAAGTTTATCAGGTTGAGTATGTCTGGGCAGAGAATCTAAAGGGTACCCCTCCCATTCAAAAACTCTCAATTCATTGGGAAGAGATTTAAGTCCACGAGGAAGATTCAATTGGCAACGAGAAACATGTGATGAGCAACTTGAAATGATAAGTAACTTGAGATTACTCATTTTTGAGAAGGCTTCAGGATCCCAAAGTTCATCTGATGATTTTTCTAATGATAGAGCAATACCTCGAATTGCTCCTATCCCCTCTAAAATAGTAAGTCAAGTTAATAATGTACCAAATTCATGGAATGAAATATTAAATGATGAGTGGACCAATATTTTAAAAGCCAAACTGGACATTAAATCGAAAAAGTCAATGGTTCTTAGTTTTTATAGTCTAACTGGTTATTATACCAACAGTTGGACCAGTGATACGATAAGTAAATAAAAATAATATTGAATATATATATATGTATATAAATATAAGAAACAAAATTATAGTATCTTAGTAAAATGACATAATATGACCGTAAATTAACAATATTATATATTATAATTTTATAACATGTCAAACATAGGTGGCTCTTAATTAAATTAGATATAAGTAAACTTGAAAGTATTTATATTTCCATCTATAATTGTTAATATCTTTATAAAAAAGTCTTAAATCATATTTTTTACATGTAAATTGTTTATTAACATCTCTGATTGACTGTCCAACTAGTCTGACCATCCAGTTTGATCTAGTTTTTAAAACAGTAGAGTGGATGACTGGACGTACAATCACAAGAACTTAAGGGATGATACCTTATTTGTTTTTAGTACATCATTGGCATCCTTCAAAGACATTATCCTAGAACGCTTATCAAATGATTCTTGGAGGACAATATATTTACCCATATCTTGAAGAATATGATGCACCCATAAACGCCCTTCACGATTGATTACTAGTGATTTCTCAATAAGAATTGTTATTCCAATTTTTGGGTAAAGATCTTCATCAAAAGTTTCTAAAATTTGTGTGACACGATCTTTGTCGATCCCATTAAAAAAGCAAGCAATATCCAAAAATATAGTCTTTTCCTTATCATCTAATCTATCAAAACACACATTAAGTATCTTCAATATGTCCTTTGGAGGAACCTTCTTAAACTTGGCAAGTGCATCCTCCCATTCCTCTATAGTTCTTCCACAAAGAAGTGAACCTAACACTTTTAGAACCAAAGGAAGGCCTCCAGCATATTCTATCACATTTTTAGAAAGAATCAAGTAACCTTCATTTGGTTGATTTTTTCCCTTAAAAGCATTTTGACGGAAAAGTTGAAGGGATTGGTCACCACTCAAGAATCCGATGTTATACTGAGCAGATACATCATATAATGATAACAAACGCATGCCTCTTATTGTTAATATTATTCTACTCCCATTGCCAAACCATCCTTGCTCTCGAGCCAAATATTCAAGTTGGCCTATATCACTCACATCATCAAGGACTAGTAGAATTTTTCTATCCTGCAACATGTTTTTTATCAGCTTAATTCCTTCATAACAATCATCCACTTCCACACTTCTTTTATTATTCAAAGAGAAAAGAAGATTTCTTTGCAATGAAATCAAATCACCCTTTTCATATTCCTCTCTGATATTATGAAGAAAGCAACAAACCTCAAAATCCTTGCACTTCCAGTCATAAAAAGCTCTAGCAAGAGTAGTTTTGCCTAAGCCTCCTGTTCCCCATATTCCTATAGAACGAACTCCTTCTGAATCAATTGCTATGAGTGACTCCAACTCATCTAATTTTGATTCAATTCCAACTAATGCACCAAGATCAAATGGCGATTCATCGTGTAACTTAGACTTCATTTCTTTTGCAATGCTTTCAATGAATTCTGTTTCATGCCTGCATAGGAGAATAAAATGATTGCATGATCTTTGTTATTTATCCTAAAAATAGTATGATCATTTAAGTCAATTGAATTATAAAATTTTAAGTTTATCATGAAACTAAATTTAACTTAGTAGGGATGTGTGGTTGTGCATATATCCTGTGCCGATTACACCTAATTTTTGGGGCATGACATTACCTCTATTAAATATACATACTTTAATAATATATTTTACTCTGCCATTATTTAATAATGGATAAAAAACTTGTAATAAAAAATGAATGACCGTGCTTATAAATAAGACAAAATATTCTTCTCTCTCTTGTTATTAATTAATAAGACTAGAAGGAAAAAAGAGAGGTGTTTACAAAATTGCCTCCCCATATAATCTATTTGTCCTTATAGCTATTTTACTAAATTTGAATTAAACTACTAGGTGTCGAAAAGATGCATCAATAAGGGATGTATTGATTTGGAAGAATTGATCAAGTAGGGTAAAGATTACATTAATTAATAATGATATTTCAAAATTGAGAGATATTATTAATATTATTAAAATTCAATATCGTTGAAAGAAAATAACCATTTTGATTGAATATGCAGCAACAATCAATACAATTACTACAAATACAAACCTATTTTACCAAAGCATAGACCTACAAGTCCAAATCGACCACTAAAATTAATCTTATACTACATTTTAGTGAAAGCTTTTAAGTAACATAACTCTCGAAAAACGGAAAAAAGAAAAGAAAATAAATAAAGCTTGATGTGGTTATTATAGTTTATTTTGATATCCACACCCTTATTTTTCACAAAAAAAAAAAACAAAAATAGTGATGATAGTTATTGAGAGAGGTATAGATTACTTATTCCGTGAGTCCCAACCAGATAAGCTAGCAACTTCTTCTAAAACATGCCTCCATCTGTGCACCTTCATTTTGTCCTGTGTAAATCTTTCTTCATGCTTCATGAATGCTTCTTCAAAACTTCCCTTTTGTTTCCTAACATCAGAAGGATCTACACCATAAAAGATTGGAAATACTTGAAGACCCACCTCTTTTTTTGAATGAAGAATCTTTTGGAGTTCATCCAAACACCATGTTGAAGAAGCAAATCCTGGGGAGAGCACAACAATTGCAGAACAAGATTCTTCAATGGCTTGTAGTAAACTTGGGTTGATATATTGTCCCCTTTCAAGTCCTTCTTCATGCCTAAAAGTTCTTAATCCTTTGCGTCTTAAAGAATCATATAAATGATCAGTAAAGCTTGTGCGAGTATCTTCACCTCGAAAACTCAAAAACACATCATATTTCCGTCTCTTAGTTGATCCGTAAGAGCTTGAAGAACACCCAACTCCATTAACATCAAGTGCCATTGCAAGGATTCAGAGTCTGAACCAAAGTACAAAAGTGAAAAATACAAAATCAGAAAGAAAATACACACGCAAACCAAACAAATTAGGAACTTCAACAAACAAAATGTGGCAATGAGAAACGGATATTACTGAAGGCGAAAGAAAGTGAACAAACTTTTGTAAATATCCCATAAAAATTTTCCCATCTATTTGAGTTTGAAAGCAAAACAGACACACAAAGTCCCAGGACACAAATCAGCAGATAAACTAATTCACTGAAGAAACAAGATGACGGAAACTGAATGATTCACTCTTACCGCAAGACTCATTCACTCCTGAGGCATAAATTAAACGGAAGCAGAATCTATGTAGATATTCAATCTCGTTAACGTTGGATGTTTAATTCAAAGCGAAATCTCAGAGATCCAAACCATTCAGTTCACAGAAGAAATCTAGAACAGAGCAAGGAAGAAAGGAGAAACCTAAGGATGAAGTAATATGAAAAGATCTGTTCGATCTTGAACTGATAATAATTCTCTCAAGTCTCAACAAGCAGTCACGAGATCAACTGGAAGGACAAGTGCCCAAGTCTTCTCTCAAGTCTTCACGCGTTCTCATTCAAACTGTAATGGACAACACTGTTCACTTTTGCAGAATGAAAGGACAGAAGCATGTGCTGATGCTTTTCATTACTTTATGGTGTCTCATTGTTTTTGACCTTTTTTTTTTTTGTTTTTACCTCTACCGTTATCGTTAATGCGTTATTTTGATTTCTTTTTAATGGTGAATCCGTAGCACCACCCTTCTTCTATTTTTATTGTTCAACTTAAAACATATTCTTCTATATTTATTTAAATTCATGTGTTATATATCTCCACTAAAACCGATAATTTGGCAAGCCTGGAAAATATTAAAGTCAGATTTGAAAGTTTAGAAAAAAGATATTATTTTAAAATTATTCAAAATTTAAAATGCAAGATCTCATCATATTTTCAAAAATTTGAATGATTCTCTTAAACTGATCATCGATGACCCAAAACTTCTTTAAATGACTTCCAAAATCAGGAAGAAGTAAATAAATTGAGGATCTCTAAGAAATTATAGAAGTGCAATCAAAGTAGTGTCTGACCATCATGTACACTATTTGAATGGTTATCTACAAAGTCAAAACTACATGTTTCTTAAGTCTCCTTACTTTTCAATATACTTAATTTTGCTCTCATGCACCTTATTAATAAATTGATTATTTATTCATTATACATTTATTAGGATTTGTTTAATTTGCAATTGGTTGAAGTATTCTAGTTAACAACAATTATCGAAAGAAATTTACAAAAAATCACAACAAATTAACCACAGCACTTCGACTCATTATGCAAGACTTTAAAAAGAAAATGATTTTTTATCCAAGTAAATTACAATTAAAAATTCAAAGAACGTGAAACTTAACATTTATACAGTTTTTATTTGTAATTTCTAGTACCATTATTTAATTATTGTGTTTTATAAAAATCATGTCCAATGACCTCTCAAAAAAATTGTTCACAAATAAAGATTAATACAAAATTATTTGTTATTAAAATAGTAATAGAGGCTTGTTTTTCCTCCCTCAAACGGTGGCTTACTATGAGTCTTTGTCTGCAAATAATTCTCTTGAAAATAATGATTTCATGGAATTGATCTAAAAAAATAGAGAGAAAAGTATGAAATAGGAACCTGTAATAGCCCAGAAAAATAATAATAATAATAATAATAATAATAATAATAATAATAATAAATAAGCAAATATATATATATATATATATAAGTGGGTATTTTAATAGTAGTTATATTAATTTTTGATCAAGATTATCAAGAAGGAGAGTTGGTTTAGTGGTAGTTGAGCCAGAATTTCATCAGACAGGTCCTAGGTTTGAACTCTGTCAGTGCCTCAAGGAAGGGCTTCGTTCATTTTCTTCATTTCTCTTCTTCCTCATTCAAAAGTTCCAGACCGAGAGAGAGAGAGAGAGAGAGTGCGCTGAACCTTCATTCGGTTTCTCCATCTTCTCTTCTCGCCGTTCAGGTTGCTGGTCGTGTGATGGATCACTGTGTTCTGGGTAAGGAGTTCGTAGATTCCCATTCATTTCTGTTCTTCGTGTTTCTCGATGGGTGCTGTCGGATCCTCATCCTCTTCCATTTGTTCCGTTTGAAAGTTGTTAGCACGTGAGGAGCTGATCTAAGATTTGTGGAAGTCTGATTTTTGAGCTGGAAGTTAGGGTGTAGCTGTCTTCTTCTCCCCTGTTCGGTCGCCCCTTCTCTGTTTCTTCCTTTCCGTGTTGTGGATGATCTAAGCTAAGGTAATCCGTTTCTTCACTTCTCTGTTATTACATGAGTGATTGGGGATTGGGATTGTGAAATCTCTCCTTCCTTTCTTTGCTGTCATGAGTAACATGGAGAATGAAAGACTTAAATATTTTTTTTCTTGAATTAAGACTGATTATTTATCGATTAACTGGAATCGTGAAAGGTGATTAATTACATGTCTATGTTAGAAATTTTGGAAAATGGAATTGAATAAGAAGAAGCTTGATTATAGTTGAAGCTCAAATGCTCATAAAGTGTTTGGTAGAATGTTGAAGAGAGAGTGTTGTTATTATAATGGCTTGATCTTTATATATGATGATAATTATTGCTAATTAAATAAATTATTATTGGAAGACATTTATCTTTTATGGAATTTGGGAATGTTGATTGGGTTAAATATCTATTTTGTAAAATTTTGGGAGATGAAATCAAGGAGGAAAATGAGCGATTTGAATTTAAGAATTAATGTGTGATAGGCATTGGACAAAAATGTCTATTAAAAGGAGTTTCATTTAATTATGAAATTTATGAATTTTACCAATTATTATGATGATGCATTTGGTATGGCCTCTTCTAAGTTAACTTAGCCTTGTGTAGAATTTTAACTATGTAATTATTGGGTGGTTAACTTATTTTTGAATTTGGCACTGTCAATGATTTATAAATTATAGTGTAGACTCATTTTAAGGTACACTTAAGGTGTTTGATAAAGTGGGTTGTAGAAGTATTTTTTTTAGAATTGGGTGTGCACTGATGTAATACATATAGCTTGATTAAAAGTTAACTACTTGTGGTTGCGTGGAGTTGGAAAGACAAGTATAGTATAAACAAAGCTTTGAATATATATATATATATATATATAAAGTATTGTAAGGGCTAAAAGAACTTTAGTTATATATCGAATTGACTTAAGAATATAGCGACTATAATATTGTTATGGAAAAAGGAGTTTAGTAAACGTGAATAAAGGTCACCAAAATTCTATATTATTGAATAGGGGATTTGGAGAAAGAAAATCTTAATTGAGGTAGTAAAGGAGGATTGAAACTGTAAAAGGGGAAATTTTGCACTTGAGAGTACTGCAGGTAAGTGAATAGCATCCCAACTAATTTTTTTAATTAAAATTTTCTTTACTAAAATATTACGTTCTTTTGGAAATCATTTTAATAGCATTAATACGATTATTGGATATTTATTGATTAATATTACTTTATTTTGAGAAATTAGCTTTACCAAATTTGAAATGTTATTTGATCAATTAAATCAAGTTTGGACTTTGATTATGAAATTTTTATTTTATCAAATATTGGATTGATACAGAGAATGATTCTTGTGAGTTCGACTTTGAAAATTTTTTGATTATTCAATAAATGCAAGCATGAGCATTGGATATGAAATTTTATTCTGGCAAATTTTAATGCTTAAAAGTATTCATGCGAGTTTGATTTTAAGAAGGAGAATTGTAACTTGAAAGTAATGATTTTCTCGCATGTTTGAAAATGATTTTTTAAAAAAGGGACTTTATACAGAACATTGGTTGCTAACGGCAGTTCCGTTAGCTGTCAGCGCACCATGGTACACCTAGTTAGCAGGTTGTTCATAGAAGGTGCTAGCTCCGTGCGATGATCAACGCACGTGGAACGAAGGGATGGTTACTCATGAGCATTGTACTCACATTTGATTTCGTGGCTTTGAGCCGCGTTTGGTTATCATTATCTTCGTAGATTGTGTGTTCACATTTATTTCATAGCTTCAGCTGCATTTGATTACTTACCCTCGTGGATTATGTGTCCACGTTTGTTTTCATGGCATAAGCCGCGTTTGGTTATTTATCCTCGTGGACTGTGTATCCACGTTTGTTTATTGTTCTGATAAGTCCCTATTATATGAATTTGATTGTTTGAAAATTTCACATCCCATTGGTTTTAAATAATAAATTATTTATAATTATTTATTTATTTTATTTACTTCCTTGCAATCAAGTGATAATATTATTTGATACGATATTTTAATGGTTTGAGATTTTTATTTAAAATTTTATAGAATTCTTTTATTTCAAAAGTTTATTAAATTGTTATGAAGATCGTTGCCTCTTTAAATTGCAAAATTATTTCAACTTTATTTTTATTCATGTTTAATTATTTATTGTTGGGACGTTATTCATTGAAAAATTATTTTGGTCTCAGATTCATTAGTTGATGCTGATTTTACTGCTGACCTCTGAAGGGCATATGGCTATATTGGATGGAAATTTTATTTGGTATTGTTACCTCTTGATGTAAATATTTAAGATTCATGTAATTTAGCTTAGAAATAAGATTAGTTGCTCCACATAAGCTATAGTTAGAGTTTTATTTTAATATATATATATATATATATATGTTGTCTGTTGGCTGAAAGGAGCTGAGCTCCTAATTGATACAATGTTTAAGAAAATTTTTGTTTTGTAAAATTTTCGGGAGATCCTATTTACAAGAGAGGTTCTGTCGAAATTTCTACAAAAATGTTAAAACTTTGTTATGACAATTAATAACAAAAGTTTTAAAATTTTCATATCATCTGATTAATTTTTTTTAGAAAACAAAATGAATTTTCATTTTAAGGCTTACGGGAATGTGCAATGTAGTTCCTATCTGTGTCGATCATCCTTAATTTTAGGGCGTGACAGGATGAAACAAATAATGTTGAGGACAAGTCTTGTGTTTAGTCTTCAGTCTCTGGTATATGCAAAATCTATGAGCTAGTGTGTGTGTGTTTCTTCTGTATAAAGATCCAAGGCGTAAGATTCAGTCCAAGTCGTCGAAGTCAGTCCAATCTGAATTGCCATCCGGCTGTGTCTTACTCTATATAATATTTTGTTGGTAAATGTCTTTATATGACAATTTAATATCAAAATGTTGGCACCAAAGAACAAGGAAAGACTAAATATTTTAATAAAATCTCGAGACTCGGAACTTTTTTTTTTTCCAAATTATTCAGACCTCACACTAATACGTTATTTTAAATCTTTTTAGCGGGGCATCGCAGCAACTCCTTTTATATTTTTAGTGTTTAGTTTAACGTTTTTAAGGAAATTCAAGGTCATGTGCATGTTTATGGTTACTGCCATGCCTAGCTATTATATTTTTATATATAAGATATTTTAATTGAACCCTGCATTTCAATAATTTTTTTTAGTTGAAATCACATTAAAGTACAATAATTTTTTAATTTTAACCCTAATAATGTTAATTAATTTCGTGCTGGTGATGGCTAAAGCACATAATTAATATATCTTTTTTTTAAGATAAGAGTAAAATTATCTAATTATTAAAAAATATCATGACATCTCTTATATCTAAGGATGAAATAAAAGGACGAAGCTACTGTCCAATTGATGAGCACAGTAGTGCCTTCTTCAGTTCTTCTGATGAGACCGAGAAACTTGACATCCTCTCTTGGGAAAAAGTCTGATGAACGTTCAGGAATTAAGAGCCTCCGCCAGCAGAATGAGGCATACTTATGACTTAAAGAAAAGTATAAATAACTTCCAAGCTACAAATATTATAACAGCAACATAATTATGGCTAGCTTACATATATGATAAATCAAATGAATGAGTTTAAAAGTTTTAATTTTGTACATTCACCATTTACAATTTTTTTTAAAAAAAATAGGTACCTGTTGATAAAGTTTCATGAGGATGTGTTAGTTTTTATAAGTATAGATAAATATTTTTCACACATGTAGCAATACATTGACAAAACATAATAACAAATATTAAATAAACAAATTATTTGAATTTTATATTATAAAGATCGAATCAAAATTATAATACAATTTTTCGACCAGTTAACAAATGTCATTGGGCTTGGATCTTATGCCTTCAACCACTCTTTTTTTCTATGAGATGATTTTTTTAAATATATATATATATATATATATATGTATGTATGTATGTAATGTAAGAGGTAATTGGACTCCGAATATAATGACGTTAATGTTGCTGGTACTATATAATGAAAGAAGCATGAGATATCCATAAACAAAGAAAAAATTTAAAAAATAAATAAATAACGTTGACGTGCCTACCAGTACCTTGAATCATTTATTCCCATTTTCAGCGTTTTGCAAGGGGTGGTGTTTACATGTGCACATCATTTTCGTTTACACTATCATATGTGTGCGTGTGTGCTAGCAAAGAAAAAAAGATATAAATTACATATATTTTATCAAGTTATTGTAACAAAAAAAAAGAAATATTTTTCTTTTTAGTTAAAAGTAGTATTAACAATTAATCGATAAAAATAACAATACTTGTGGTTATATTTGTTGATTTTTTTTCTGCTAAATTGTGTAAGAACATTCTTATGAAGATCAGAAGATATAATTATAAAATTGAGAAATTGCATGAATATAAATTTATTTTTTTCCTTAATGTATATATGACATTAACTGATTATGCTTATTAAAAAATAAATTGTGTTTAATTTACCTATGTTAGACTTAATATTTTTTCAGAGTTTTGTTATCTCAACAATATAGTGATTTATTTTTTGTACTATTACGATGTGAATTAGATTCATCTGAATCTTCTTTTATTCAAATTATATATATTCAATGACACATAGAAAATATAATTTTTTGACCAACACATATAAAAATATGCTGAAAATCTAAACTTTAATTAGTAATTGATTTAGTTTTAATAAACTCAATTTTCATTTAATTATTTATATTTATATGCTAAAATGAAATTTGCAACAAAAATTAATCATAAAAAAAATTAAATTGTCAATATTTGTGTTTTATCCTTTAAATTTAATCTCGTAAACAAAAATAAACCTCAAAACAATTAACAGAAGAGGGAGCATTAGATATTGTGAATATTCTCCCGTTGGTGTCTAATGGTATCATTGACTAGGTTTAGTTTGCTGATTCTGTTATGATTGTACAGCTGCTACACAAACCCCATCTATGAATAAATTAAGCTAACACCTTTCACTTCTGAATGCTTTTGAATTTTAAAAATAAAAATTATAATGATACTTTAGGAGTGCTTTCTCCTAAGAAACGATTCCATAAATTCATCTGTTTTTAAAGAAAATAATTTTTTTTGGTAGTAAAGAAAATAAAAATTTTCGTTGGAGGAGTGTTTGTCAAAATAAATGTTCCCACACATTAAAACCGGAGAATATAATAAAAAAAAAGGTGTATAGGAGTGTTTTAGTGTTTAAAAATCTCCCAAATGTATAATTTACGGAAACCTTTATTTTTTTTTTTCCTTTTGATTCAGGGGAACCTTTATATTTTAAAATTCTCTCATATGTTCTAGTCATATAAGTTTCCATATGTGTAATCTCATAACGTATTTCTATATGCTAGTTTCCAAATTTGAAAGCATAATTATGAAAACACTATATACTTCATGAAGTCTCACACTAAATCATGAGTGTAATGAGAAGTTAATCCTCAAATTCACCATAAAAATAAGCTTCAACGGCAAGAGCGAACTAAAATAACCTTTCAGTCACAAAGAAATCTCGTGAAGAGCAACCTGCTAGCAGGGAAAAAAAACCTTTATAGTTGGCTATTATGATCAGTGAATTTTCAGTTAAACTGTATATGATGGACAAAAATAAAAATGATTCAATTATAGTTACATTTGAATTGCTTAGAACTTTCTTAATTCTTACACATGGCCTGGCTTACTTGCATGATAGATCAAACAAATGAGTTTACAAGTTTTATATTTTGTACAGTTTACATTTTTTTTAAATAATAGATCCATATATTGATAAAGTTTTACAAGTATTTGTTAAGTTTTGTAAGTATAAATAGGTAAATATTTTCACGACAATATATTGACAAAATATAATAATAACCAAAAAAAATTTCATATTATAAAGATCAAATCAAATTATGTGACATTGTAGAGATTAATAATAACAATAATTTTTCGAACAACTAATGCCATTGTTCATATGAATATGATATAAATGTTGCTGGTGTTATATATGCAACAGCAACAAACAAACATGAGATATCCATATAAAAGGGAAAAAAAAAAAAAAAGATAATGCTGATGTGCGTACCGTGAATGATTTATTCCAAAATTTTGGCATTGCTGCTGTTACATCCTTCTTCCCTTGTTGTTCGCCAAGTTTCAACATCTTCTTTACACAGTAAACGCCACCCACACTTCCTTATTTTAAACTTTGATGTCTTAGTTACCAAAAATACCATTTGAAGTTGGTTTGCAGCCAAAGAGGAACCACAAGCATAGATAACACAGAGTTGATGACTACAATTTGTTTGTACACACAAACGATAGCCACAGTGAATTTCTTGAAATTTTTCATTAGGCAATCTGTAAGTCCACCAAACATCATCAAACATATTCTCAGGGTGCTCCAAGTCAAGGTGTGCAGATGCTAAATCGTTTTCCAACACTAAGCATGTGGCTATGCCCCACCATTCACTTGAATGACAATATTCAGGTATGCTTGCTGCGAATGACACATTTGGATCACTGATTTCTTTCTCACAAAAATAGTGTTGATTATGAAACCATGGTGGCACTTCACTACCTTGAATTGTCAATACACGACTATATTGCTTGAAGCAGTCAGGCTGTGATTAAAAAAAAAATTGTTTGAATAAGAAGTATAATAATTAAAATGTAAGAAATGGAAAATATATACAAGTCAAATATATAGAGATTCAATGTCCAGGGGGAAAAACAAAAAAAAAAATCGAAATTCAAGTAATTCAAATCATAAAAAATGCTCACAATTTGTAAATCTTGTGTAAGGATTCCATACTCCTGAAATAAAATGACAGGTTTATGTTCTTCATAACAAGCTATAAAGCCGTCGCTGAAATTGATAACCTATACATAAGGAAAAAATGGCTATAAAGAAGTATAATGATTAATGTGAAAGAACAAGTAAAGAAAGACAAAATAAACCTGAGATTGGAATGATTCAATGAACTCCCATAGTTTCTGCGAACACATGTAATGCTCCATTGATGGACAACCGCTTGCGAGAATGGTTGATAGATTTGACGGAAGTTGTGGCAAGGACCGAAACGTAGGGCAATTAACAATATCAACAAATAGAAGCTTGGAAAGATTGGAAATGAGGCGAGATGGTAAGTCAATGAAATTGTTTCCACTTAAAATTAAATGTGTCAATGATGATAACATGCTTATGTCATCTGGAAGTGATCCATCATGAAGTTTGCAATAACCTAAATTTAATTGGCTCAAGAATGATAAAGAAATGGGTACCATAAAATTTGTTGAGCTTAAAGGCCTTTGAAGCCCAAATGACTTCCTGAGAAGGGACACACAACTCCATGATGATGAAGAAATTCGACCCACATCAAGCACTTCCAAAGCCCCATTTTCATTCAAATCCTCTGGCATCCTTGAAGGGTTAGACCAACCAGAAATTTTGATAATCTTCCTGGCTATGAATTTATGAACATTATTTGGAGGGCAAACAAGATTTGTGCAACCCGTCAAATTTAATTCAACAAGACCAATCAAATTGCCCAATGATTCAGGTAGTTTGGATATAGCAGTGTTCTCTAAATCAAGTGTAGAGAGACATTTCATATCCTTTTCAAACTTAGGAAGTTTTCTAATTTTTGAACAACCAGATAGAACAAAAATCTTTAAGCGATCCATCTCAAATTTACTTGGAAGGGTTCTAACTTTTTTGCAGCCTTTCAAATTAACAATAACAAGATTCTTATGTTGCCCAAGAGACTGGTGAACTTCAACCAGTTTAGAACACCCTTCTAGAATCAATATCTCAAGATTAGGAATTTTATAAAAATCTGGAGTTTTGATGAGGAATTTTGAATGAGATAAATCAATGGACTTCAACCTTGGCAGAGACTAAAAAAAAAACAAAAGAAAATAATAAGTCCTAAAAAATGAAAAATTACTTGTAATGATAAATTTGTTAAATTAAGGACAAACAATTTAAATGAAAGGATCATAATTACCCGTGCTCCCCTCCAAAGTTCTTTTAACTTGCTATGTTGCATTTTTAGAACAAGAAGTTCATGGAGTTTTGTTTGATTGGGCAAAGAATCTAAAGGATACCCATCCCATGCTAAGACTTTCAGCCCAATGGGAAGGGACTTAATTCCACATGAAAGATTCAATTGACAATGAGAAATATGTGAGCGGCCTGAAATGACAAGTAATTTGAGATTGATCATCCTTGAGAAGGCGTCAGGATTCCAAAGTGCATTAAATGTTTCTTCTACTATTATGGCTATACCCCGAATTGCTCCTGTGCCCTATAAATAATAAGTCAATCAAGTTAATAATGTACACAATTGATGGAATAAAATATTAAATAAAAAAACTTGAATAGTCATGAAACTTAGGGCTATTACCTTATTTCCTTCTAATACATCATTGGCATCCTTCAAAGACAATATCCTAGAACGCTTGCCAGCATCATTAAGTGATGCTTGAGAGACTATATATTTACCCATATCTCGAAGTGTCTGGTGCACCCACAAATACCCTTCTGAATTGATTACCAGTGATTTGTCAATAAGAACATCTATTCCAATTGTTGGGTGAAGATCCTCATCCAAAATTTCTAAAATTTGAATGAGAGGGCCTTTGGCCATCCCATTGAAAAAGCAAGCAATATCCAAGAATATAGTCTTTTCCCAATGATCTAATTCATCAAAACTCACCTTAAGTATCTTCAAAATGTTATTTGGAGGAACCTTCTTCAACTTAGCAAGCGCATCCTTCCATTTCTCTATAGTTCTTCCACAAAAAAAAGAACCCAACACTTTGAGTGCCAAAGGAAGGCCACTAGCATATTGAATCACAGTTCTAGAAAGCTCCAAAAAAGCTTTACTTGGCTTACTTCCTTTAAAAGCATTTTGATGGAAAAGTTCAAGAGATTCATCATCAGTCAAGAATTTGATGTCATAACAAGTAGATACACCATGTGATAATAACAAATGCTTGTCTCTAGTTGTTATTATTATTAAGGTCCCTTTGCCAAACCATCCTTGATTGCCAGCCAAATTTTCAAGTTGGCTTATATCACTCACATCATCAAGGACAAGAAGCATTTTCCTATTGCTTAACATGCTTTTTATCAACTTCCTTCCTTCATAATAGTCATCCACATCCATGCTTCTTTTATACAAAGAACAAAGAAGTTTTTTTTGCAAGGGAATCAAACCTTCTGCTTCATATACCTCTCTAACATTAAGAAGAAAGCAATGAGCTTCAAAATCTTTATACATTCTCTCATAGAAAGCTCTTGCAAGAGTAGTTTTACCTAAACCACCTATGCCCCATATTCCTATAAATTGAACTTCACCCAATCCATTAACTATACGTGAGTTTAAGTTGACAAGTTTTGATTCAATTCCAACCAATTTCTCAGAGTCAAATGGAAGGTCATCATATATTTTTGACCACACTTTTTCAATAATGGTTTCAATGAGTTTTGTTTCATGACTGCAAAGAGATATAAAGTAATATCATCGACATTAAGTCAATTGAATTTTAATTTATATATAGGTTAAAATGGTCAACACAACATAAAGAAAACATGGTCACACGGGTATAATTAATTTTAGTTCAACTATGTAACATAAGTTAACCTTGACATACGTTTATCATAGTTTTTAAAATTATTGTAATGCAATATTAAATAGTCAGATTTGTGATTGAAAAAGAATAAATTATATTCTTGTCAGACTTATTCTTAAACTTACAATTATTTTTCCTCTTATTTGTTTTATGATAGGACCTATCAATTATGAAAGCTACACTCAAACTTGGGTTCCTAATTATTTTTGGCGAATGTTACTAAATTGCCTCCCCATAATTTCCTTAAAACTAGATTACGTATAGTGATTTGCAAGGAGTTTGAGGTGAGTCAATTTAATCATGGTTCGTAGATAATTTAACTTTTGATAGATTTTGTATTTGAATTTTATATAAGGGAAAACCGTTTTTTTTATCTCTAGAGTTTTGGTCAATATAGGTCAAGGTTACTATAGTTTTACTATTATTATTATTATCATCAAGAAATCAATGTATAAATTTATGGTGAATTTTGTTCAAAATCTCTATTGTCATCAAACATCGTTGGCAAACAAGTGATATATGATCTCCCAAGATACTGACCAAAGTTAACCATAACTTTAAGGACTTATTTCTTAATTAATAAAAAAACTTTAGGATCTTAACGAAAGACCAAAACTCTAGAAACAAAAAACTATGTTGTTCCTATATATATAATTATATTATAATAGCTAGCAACAATTTTTAAATAGTTTAAAGTAATTAATATCAACACCATTAATATTATTTAAAAATTATTCATGACGATTATTAGAAATATAAGAAATTACCAATTGCCAGAGTGCCAGCCAGATAAGTTAGCAACTTCTTTTAAAGCATCCCTCCAATTTTGCACCTTCATTTCATCTCGTGTAAATATTTCTTCATGCTTTTTAAATGCTTCTGCAAAACTTCCTCTTTGATGTTCAACATCAGATGGATCCACACCATAAAATATTGGAAATACATAAAGACCTGACTCTTTCTTAGAATGGAGAATCTTTGAGAGCTCAGCCAGGCACCAAGTTGAAGAAGCATAATTTGGAGAGAGAACAACAATTGCAGAAAGAGATTCTTCAATTGCTCGGAGCAGACTTGGTTTAATAACTTCTCCCCTCTCAAGTTCTTCGTCGTCCTTGAAAGCTATGATTCCATTGCGTTGTAAAGCACAACACAAGTGATTTGTAAAGCTTCTACGAGTGTCTTCTCCTCGAAAACTCAAGAAGACATGATACTTCCATCTCCTAGTTGAACCAAAACAGCTTGAAGGGTGATCAACTCCATGAGCTTCAAGTGCCATAAAACAGTTTGAGAGCTGAATCATGCAAATTACAAATACATCCATCACCATCAGGATGTGTATAATAGAATGAAACTTAACAAATAATGTAGCAATTAATCAGAAGTAGAATGGTGAAGTAATTTATGTACAACGATCTTTTGTTTCTGATGGTATTTCAAAACAAGGCTATCAGATAGATTACTTCACACATGTCAATACTTCATACAGCGATATTGTCTAGGCTAGTAGATAGGGAAGCAATGAAGAAATCAGTATTGGGAAGTGAAGAATGACATATTTTACACAAATTTATCAAACAAAAATAAAAGCTACGTTGTTCAGAGTTCACCACAATCTAGACCAGACTTGGTCCCTCAGCTGATGGACTAGTTTATCATATCAAAACATGTAAGTGTCCGATATATTAGAAGATAAAAGAAGTCTCACATCTAAAAATTAAAAGATAGATAATTAATATATAAGCTTGGGAAGTATCTAACCAAATGGCTTAAGTTATTTTGGTAGAGTATATTATCCTTAAACACACTTAATATAAGAAATTTAACATAGTATTATGAGCCCCTCGATTAGGGACAAAAAAAAGCGAAAAAAAGAAAGAGGGAAAGAAAGGAAAAAAGAAAGAATGAATGAAAGGCTAAAAAAAACAAGAGATTAAAAAAAGAAAGAGAGGAGAAGAAGAAGAAATTGAATAGATCTAAGGCCTCTGAGACTAAAAAAATACAAGTCTAGACAAGAAGAAGAAGAAATGAAAAAAAAATGAGAATAAAAAAATAGTTGAGAGAATATTAGAAGATAAAAGAAATCTCATGTCTAAAGATTAGAAAATAGATAATAAATATATAAGTTTAGGAAGTATCTAATCAAATAGCTTAAATTATTTTGATGGAATATATTATCTTTAAGCACACTTAATATAAAAAATCTAACACGATGCTCACCAAGTTGAGTAACAAATGTACTTTGTCTCCCATCTAGACAATATAAATTTAGTTTGAATGGTCCAATTTATTAATAGCTCAAGTTTTAGAATTTTGTAAATTGACTATCTAGATATATTTTAAATAGATGGTCCAGATTTAAAATTTTGTAACATGAAATTTTTTTCTTAAAAATATTTTTTAAAGTAACCATTTGGAGATTATCTTTTATTTTAATATTATATTAACCAAATCAAACATTTATAAAAATTTAAAAAAAAATTAATAATAAATCTAGAAGGTCCAAAATACAGATAAATAGTCAATTTATGAAAAAAATAATAAATTTTAATATAAATTGGATCATCAAAATTAAATATGTACTATCTAGATTAATAGATTTATTAAAATCTTTCTAATTTTTATTTTATAAATATAAAAAAAATTTTAATTTAGACCATCCATATTAAAATATAGATGGCCTAGATCTCGTCACCATGACGAGCACTAACATGTAGATAGAATATGAACTTCAATCACATTCAAATTCATGATCACAAAGCAAAATTTCAAATATAGTAAAGAGGGATCTAGAAGAATTAGCAAGCATAACCGAATGAAGTGGTATGTCTATATTCCTTATCGTCTATTAATATTTCAAAGCAAAAGTTTTATACCAAACTTATGCTCTTGGAGGATTCAAAGAAAGCATAATCACAAAATTAATGCTTGAAGAAATAAATCCATTTCACTGAATAATAGAAACTTAAAGGGGCAAGATTCACTCTTCAGGCAGATATCAAAGTGAAGTGGCAGAAATTGTGTTTATATATATATATATAGTCTCTCCCTTCTTTTGATATTTCAAATGAAAATTTTACAGATAGAAAATGGACATAAAATAATTAGAAGGAAGAAAATAGGAACCTGATGAAGGAAATAATAGTGAGAATTTATTTGATGTGCCTGCTGATTCAGAAGATAAAACCCAGTTAGGTACTACAAATTTATAGATTTGAGAAATGGAGCATTTGGAGTCAGCTCAAGCATACTCTTCACGCGTGCAAACCGCGTTGCTGCTGTTGGGCCAAAAAAAAAAAAAAACGCGTTGCTGTTTTTCAATTTCCAAGACTTATTTATTTATAATTATATATTTTATTAGCTGTGATATTATTCATTTGGAGCAATTTTGCGATCGGAAGGCAGTGCTTTTTCAACATAAACGTAGAAAGAAAAGATGACTTACTTTTTTTTTTTTACAAGCTAATTATGTTTTATCATTTTTATTTATTCATATATAAACAAAGAATGGCTAATATTGTTGGCAAAAAAGAAAAAGAAAAAGAAAAAGAAAAGAAACGGATAGCATTAAAATTGGACAATTTTCAATTTTCACCCTGAAGAAAAAGAAATGCATGATAAAATAAAATGATATCTGCCAATATAAATCAGAGAAATTGTGCATGAAAGTATGAGAACAAAAAATGGCATGAGAAAAATATATCTTGTTCGGGATAGATGGCAGAAATTTTGTTCTCTCTCCTACTGCAAACTTCTACGGTATTTAAAATCAGAGAAATTGACTTGTACCCAAAAAAAAAAAAAAACAGAGAAATTGACTTATGGACGAGACTCCCAAAAAACAAAGGGAAGGGGTCTCTTCAAATTTTTTTAATCATCCTTCCCTTATTTTCTAAATCATGATTATTTATATCATTATATTAAAAGAATTATTCGTGATCATATTTAATTAATTTAAAAATAAATTTTATCAAACTGTTATAAGTTTTATCTTTTAGAAAACTAAGATAAGATTCTGATTGGGCATGTAACGTGTGAGAAAAAGACCAAAAGGCTTGGAATAAAATCTCTCACTTTTTTGTGGTTATAAAAACTTTAGATGTGTTTGGTCCCCCACTTTGAATGTGGATCCAGGCAACATACACATCTAGTTTAGAAAATTGGTGCCAATAGTTTTTTTTTTTTTTGGTAAATCAAACTTGTTTAATTTGACCGTGTATTTGTGAAGCTTATTTTATTTTGAAAAAAATTATATTTATTGATGCTTGTAGTTTTATTGACCTTTGTTATTGGTTACTTCTTTCGATGTTTTAGGTTCCTTTAGTTTTTTTTTGTATGTAATGTTATTTCCTATATTCTCAAATATTTCTAGAGAGATAATGAAGTGAAGTCAAGATTTAATAACATTGGGGGTTTCAAATTAAATCACATACTACAAAGCTTTTATAAATTTTGGGAAATTGAAAGTATATGTAATATAATACTAAAAACAATTTTTAAAACATGGGGGTTGTGACCCATGCTAGTCCCCCTCCCTCCGCCCTTGATGATGGCACTAATTAGTATGTTAAATCATCTATTATATAATTGACAGTGTCAATGGAGATGCTTACATTTTTAAATTAGAATGAGTCAACGAATCATGCTAGTGATAGCATTTGTCAACGTCGAAAGGTGATTTCCAGTCACTGTGAGTTAAGTCTTTTACCTTTATGCAACAAATTTTCGAATCAATTTTCTTAACCAAGTTAAATAAATATCCTATATGTTTTAATTTGTACATGGTGCTGTTGTTGTTTAAGCCTATGTCCTCTCTTTTTTTTAAATTGCTGATTAGATTATTATACCTCATCCAGATCCTTAACATAGATTCAGCACAATATTTTACACCATTAGTTACAGGTCAAATGATTTGACACCATTAGTGCCACATCATTATCCCTCTAAAAATATTTAAAAATAAAAGGACTAATGTTATAGGCAAAAACAAAATAGAGTGACCATAAATATCGAAAAAAGGACTTAGAAAGGTTAATAACAAAACAGAATAAAATTACAAGCACTAATAGTTATGTTAATTAGAAGAGTACTTAGGGCTCACCAGCTCCCATCTTTTGGGTCAATCTTCATTTGATTCAGAAACAAATTACAGTTACGTATATTTAATTAATGAAATGAACGTCGTGCATTGTTGTGGTGCCGTGGAGTGAGCAGAGTTAGAAGTGGACCAACTCAAGCGTACTTGAAACTGATCTCTGCATGAAGACCTCCGTAGATCTGGACTCCGTTTACATTGAATAACTTATCAGCGATCATTTCTCGCAAGCCACACTAAACCATAGCTTCCAAGCAAAGCTGCACGCGACAATAATCTGTCCCAAATTCAAGTTCAGCCAGTGATGAACCTCCCTTATACAAAAAAATGTCTGATTGTGATAGGAGGCACTATCATGAGACTTTCTTGGATTCAAGATTATTAGTTCAATAGATTATGATATGTTTCTTGGATAATTGTCCACGTAACTTGTATTTGATGAAAATTACATTGGCTTAACATGATTAATAATGCTTTAATTTAATGTGCAAGAGGTTGGAATTGGTTTCTAAGTGGGTTGCGAGTGGCTACACTAACATTTTTTGATTGTTTCTCACCAAAATCCTTCTTTGATTAGCCTTCCATTGTTTTTCCACATTTAATTGGTTTGAAATTCTACTTCTTTCCCCTGTTTTTAACTTTTTTATTTCGTGCATTTTCCCCTGTTTTACAGCCTATACGTTGCTCATTTCGGTTGTGTTTTGCATCGTTATGCTTATTGTACTCTGTTTCTAATTTGGCATCCCCCTGTTTGTTGGCGTGATGAGCGAAATTGATACCTTTTGTGTTAGGTTGGGGTTGAAATTTAAAAATTCAACATCTTTGGTCGACCACTGTTACAAGATGGTTAATTCTACAAAACACTCTTATAATGGTTAATTCTACAACAAGTGATTGCAAAATTACAAGATGACAATATGTATATACATTATTTACATTAAAATTTTCAAAACTTTATATGTTAATTCTATGCAAGTGATTGCAAACTAAACGCAAAAATTTTTAGCTCAAGTTTTTTTTGTGAAATTTCGTGCATTTTCCCTTGTTTTACCACCTGTACGTTGCTCATTTCGGTTGTGTTTTGCATCGCTATGCTTATTGTACTCTGTTTCTAATTTGGTATTCCCCTGTTTGTAGGCGTGATGAGCGAAATTGATACCATTTGTTTCTACACTAATTTAAAAATTCAACCTTTTTGATCGACCACTGTTTTCAATTTTCAATCCTTTTTTATGAATTTTTGTTGTATTTTCAGAGTTAATTTTCTTTTTTTTTTCTTTGTTGGTTCTTGAGCGTTTCTTGGCTTATTTGTTGATGTGCGATGACTTGGAATGCTAAATTATTCTTATTCTAAGTTGAAAAACATTACAGTGTTTTATAATTACATAACGAAATTAACTCAATACAATCCACATTTTTTTTCCCCAATCCCACAACAGTAAGCTTGTATATTACCCGTACTTGTGTTTTCGGCTTTTTTCATTTGGCCCAAGTTTCTCCTTCTGTTGCTTTGTATCTTCCCTATTAAGGATACGCTGGGATACTTTTATTGAAAAGAATCAAATACAATAAGAATACACACACATAAATTTTGATGGATAAACTTAAACAAAACAATGTGTATAGTAAAAATTTTATTTTTAAAATAACATTTAAAAAAATGTGTGTGTGTGTGTGAAAGAGGTGAAGGCTAAGAATGAAACCATCAAGAGTCTACTACTTTTCTCACTCTGTACATGTGATTGTGAATTTACTAGGAAACTGCAAATAAATTCTCCGAATTGTCAAACAAATTAACTACGAGAGGTTCCTTGAAAGATAGCCCTAAATTTGATTGGAAATCATAGTATAAAATCGTTTGGTTAAATTTATAAATTGTTAAACTAATATCTTCACCTTTTATAATGATGGTTTTTTGGCAGAATGAAAGGCAGAAACCATATGATGCTTTTCATTTTGCAATGCTTTATTGGATTCTTACTTTTTAGACGTTAATATATACATACATATATACATACATACATACATATATATAATGTAATTACTGTATATTACAATTTATTTTTATACTCAGACCTACCATTAATACATTATTTTTAATTTCGTTTTAATGGTGAATCCTATCACTGCCATTCCCCTTCTATTTTTCTTGTTCAATTTAGAACATGTTCTTCTATAATTTTTAAACTCGTGTGATATATATCTCCATATATATACGTTGATATTGATGCATGACGTGAGTAAAAAATAAATTAGTTTTTAAAGGTTTAATATCTTCACTTTTTCATATGAATGTTATCCTCTAATACAATAAGTAAATTGGTAAACATCATTTTCAATTATAAATAATAAAAAAAATAAAAGACATGAGTAGCTACTAAAATTTGTGAAATTATATTAGTTTAGAACTCACAAGAAAATATTGAGCATAATATGAAACGAACATTGATTTCTACACCCGGACAATAAAAACAATATGTATAGCAAAAATATTTTTAACGTTTTAAGAATTTTTTTTAAATTGTATGTGTGTATGAAACAGAGGAAGACTTGGGATGAAAAACATCAGGAGAAGTCTATTTACTTTATTTTCCCCTCTATGCACGCAACCTTGAATTTGCTTGGAAACTGTAAAGAAATGCTCCGAAATGTCGAACCACTTAGCTATGAGAAACTTCTTGGAAGTGAGGACCCTGAATTTTATTGGAAATTAACATTTGGAATTGGTATGTCAAACAACTACTCCCTCTATCCCTATACATAAGATGTTTTTAATCAAATCATACAAACTAATAAAAATTAATTATCTAATTAAAAACACAACAACATTTCAATTTTGCCCCTAATTATTATAAATAACAAATGAATCTCTTTTTTTAAAGTAAATTAATAAGAGTACTTATCTTTTTCTCTTTCTAAAAGTATAATAGTCCATTCATTAAAATCTATGCTAACAACTCCTTATATTTGAGGGAAAAAAAAAAGTTTTAGAAAACTTCTTATATATAGAGACAGAGGGAATATGTTTCCTCTCACCATTTTGTTTTCGTGTTTTGTTTTTTTTTTTTTTTTTGCGTGCTCTTGTGTTTCTTTCTTTGATCTTTCTCTCTTCTCCTTCTCTTTCTCTTTAATTTTATGCATTCTGTGATTTAGTCTTTAATAAAATTAAAAAAGACATAGGACATAGGTAATTAAGTAAATATATTTAATATACTTTGTTTTCAATTAAATTAGTATAAGTAGATTTTTATATTTTCAAATTGTTATAACGTTATTGACAAAAGTTAGTTAGAACTTGGAAGATAAATTATGAATGAAAAAATATATATCTTAATTTAATTAGAAATTAAGGAAAATCATATCTTCGCACCTTTGAGGACATTTATTACCAAAAAGGGAAAAAAGAATTTGAATTTTCTTTATAAGACCAAGGAACATTAATGTGATTAAAATTTATTGCGTAAAGGCAAAATTACCTTTGAATTTTCGTTTTTTTCCTTTAAAAAACAAGAAAATGGCTTTGTATAAAAAAAAAATTAACAATGAGAAATTTACTTGGAAATGGTGGCCCTACATTTGATTGGAAATTAACATTTGGACTTGGCATGTGTGTCAGATCAAACAACTTGATTGCCTCTCGTTGCTTTGTTTTGCGTTTTGATATTAAATTTATAAAAAAATAAAAAATTTAATTTAAATTAATATTAAAATTATCTTATTTTACTTGTTAATAGTCCTGCTTCACGTTAATTCTGATTTTGTTCTGTGTTTTATTTTGCTAGTAAAAAGAAAAAATTCATCAAAGCGTGTTACGGACAAGTAGTGTTTGCTTTTTGCAAAAGGACGCCAAAGCACCAAGTGACACTAAAGTGTCAGTGCTTTATTGTCCTTTAAACTTGAGACACCGAAGTAATTTTGGTAAAATGATGTAAATAAATAGATAAATAATAAAATAATATGATGAAATGAGATAATTTTTCTGAAGTTTGCAGGAGTTTTTGTAACATAAATTATGTTTCTAACTTTCTAGGAAATAATGGAAAATGTAGGGTTAAATTAAATTATTATTACATGACTAGATTAAAATTATGATCAACTGCATTGCTAATATATACTTAAATTAAAATTTTTATTCACTATACTCAAGTTATTAATATAGAAAACATACTTATTATTTACATTACTAAACTAACAACTATGCTTTATATATTAATAACTTTATCTTTAATATAAAAAACTTCAATTTAAATATTAAAAAAATTATTTTTAAAATTTTATGTAGCGTTAAAACATGATTTTAATTTACAAAAAAATTACATCAAATAAGTTACTAAAAATTTTAAAATAATTATCATATTTTGAAGTACTTATTTATTATTTATTTATTTATTTTGACAGGATTTATTTGTTATTTTTCACATCACTGTGTCCCTCTTTGCAGAAGTCTCAGTTTGGAAAGGGACAAAGCCAAAATATCTTTATATAACACTGTGACATGATTTATATTGTCAATAAATTTGGACCACCATATTGTTTTAGATTTCATTGATCTTAATTTAAAATAATATTTCCATCACGATTCTTTACTGAAATTCCCCCCCCCCCGGCCCCAAAATAAAAAAAAATAAGGAAATAGATCTGTGATAAATCTAACGCATCAATAAATTTGGACGGCACAAATATCTCATGTCTCAGAACCTTAAGAATTTGGATAACTCGCGCTGGAGCATAGAAAAGCTATTGTCAGAATTCAAATCAGGATTTTATTGATACTATCAACTTTTCAAGGTGAATTTTATGTTTACTTCGTACTCTTGGAAGATTAATTTTAATCTTATTTATAGGCACTTCATTATTTTTTATATTTATCTTTACTTTTCTGCTCTTATTAAGTATTAAAAAAAATTATTAAAAATAATTCTTTTTGTCCTAATAAGAAGATCAATGGAAACTTATTAAATTTTAATATAAAATTAATGAAGTTTAAAGTTTTTTCCGATTTTAGTAAAATATGTTAGAAATAACTTATAAATAGGATCAGAGAGGATATTTATGCTGTGAATTTAAATCAAGATTTTATTAATACTATAACTTTTTAGAGGTGAATTTTATATTTACTTAGTCATCTTGGACACTATTGAATAATGACTTAGACTTTGAGTTTAAGTTATTATATTGGGTTAAGGCATTTTCACCCATAAACTATTTTTCGAAAATCATCCATTATCTTAAACTATTTGTCATAACAATTTCATTTCTAAAATAATTAAAACATAGCATATTTGTCTCTTACGTTTAATACCCGCTAATTGTTAAAAAATGCTTACTAGGAATTAAATTTAATAAAAAATCCCACATATGTTAGGCTAAGTGAATTCAAATTAAGGTACTTTTTTTTATTATATTTTAATTACTTTATGAGTAAAATTTCTACGATGCAAATATTTTAGGATTTTTGGTCCTCCTCGGAGAATAATTCAAGAGCAAAAATATATCTTAACTTGAATCCACTTGATTTGTCATTCGACTTGTTTCCCCGGTTTTTAACTTGTATATATATTTTCCGCGCATTTTGCCCTATTTTCTCACCGGCCTATTTCCCCTGTTTTCATGCATTTTTTTTAATTTGACTAGAGTTCGACTGTTTCGACAACTGTTCCAAGTTTTCAATCATTTTCATGAATTTATCTTGCATTTTTCAGATTTAATTTTTACAGTCTTCCCACAACTTCCTTTGAATCTTGATGAGGCATGAAGTAGAGAACTAAATTAGCATATACCTTGTCATAAATCGCAAGAGAAAAAAAGGGAGACAATTTCAAATTCACACAAATGTTCTTAATAATCCACAAGAAAAAGCTTAATTAGCTACACAGAGTATCATCAGGAAGCAACATTAAAGAAAACTATAAGGTCAAGATGGCAAAATAGTATCATTAAGACGATAGCTTCATCATCTGGTGCTATTTTCATGAGTTTCGCAAGCACATCAAAAACTTGATCAACATCACTCTTTTGCTAATAATTCAAGAAGACATAAATGTCAACAGAGTAAGATGCAATTTTATTTGAAAGCAAATTCCAAAATTAAAAGGAAAAAAAAAAGACAAATTATCATCATTAGGAAGGGTCACATTCATATGTTACGCAACAAGAAATTCTCACTAAGGGCAAGAGAACATGTAACTATAGAACAAACATGTAGCACAAAACATGACAATGTTATTTGCCTAATTTCACAACACAATTCAAAATCCTCAGAAGCATCAATACGTGAAAATGGCCAGCGTGTCCGTGTTGGATATGTATCCAATACAGACACGCTTTTAGGATGTAGAAACGGTGCATCCTTTTTCCCAGTTTCCGACGGACACGGGTGAACGGGAGATGAGATGTGCGAACACGAGCAGATACAAAACTCTACATTTTTCACTTCTTTTTACTCAATCCCAACTCCAGAAAGTCGATGCCCTAAGATTTCCAGCTTCTTTGTCACGTTTCCAACTCTAGAAAATTGGTATAGCTCCTTTCCAACTCCAAAAACTTGACCCCTTTCTCATGTTTGCTGCTCTATCGCTTGGTGCCTCATTGACCGTCGTCCTTCTTCAACAGTGCTTCTTTAGTCGACCTATTCGCGTTTTCACTTTTCACTTCACTCGCTGCCTCACGTCTGAACTCTGCCTTAGCATCTCTATCTCTTCAGTCTTCAGTCTTCAATCTCCAGTCTTGGTAAGTTCATCTTTGCCGTTTGAGCTCCACCTGAGGCTCTTTATCTCTTCACTTCTTTTATTCCTTAATGCTCAATGCTAGATATTTATTGCTCTCTATCTCCTGGTTGGTATTACTGTTGGATATGTATTGCTCAATGCTTCATTGCTGAACCAAGAGAGGCAGAGCTACCTGATCAGTTTTCCCAATTTAATGCTGAATTATTGATTTAATTTTTTTTATTTAGATGGATTATTTTGCTGAGTCAAACATTGATTTATTTTAAATTTTTATTAGCTCTCTTCATGTTAAAATTGAAGGAAATTGTTTACAATTTTTCAATAGAAATTAAATCTATAATGGCTTCTAATTCTAGACCTGATAGTAGTTCAAGAAATGTGAATTCTCAGTAATAATGAAAGACAGAAAAAGAGTACTCCTTTATGGGCTTATGTAACTTTGGTTCCTCAAGAAAATGAAGGGGAAAGTGGGAATAGAAGTTGAAAGTGTAACTATTGTAATAACCAATATAATGGCTCTTATTCTAGAATTAAATTTTATTTGTTGAGGATCTCTGAAAAGGGTATTACTATATGTCCGAAAGTTGATAATTTTAGGTGAAATGTAAAAAGCTCAAGAGGAGGCTGAGAATAGAACAAAACCAAGACATGTGCCATTACCAACTCCAACTCAGAGCTTGTCCCCTTTATGTCAAAGGGGTTCTACCCCTATTCAAAGTCAACACAATTAGGGAAAAAGGAGGGCAACAAATACAATAGAAAGAGCTTTCCAACAAGGAAGGAGCTAGAGATTATTTAACTATTGAAATTTCTAGAATGTTTTATTTGGCTGGCTTGTCTTTCAATTTAGCACTAACCCATATTTTATTAGTGCATTTCAATATGCTACCAATAATGTAATTCCTAGTTTTAAACCTCCTGGTTATAATGTACTAAGATCCACTTTGTTGCAAAAAGAAAGGGCCAATGTTGAAAGGCAACTTGAATCAATCAAAGGGACTTGGAATTATAAGGGGGTAAGTATAGTTACAGATGGTTGGTTAAATGTACAAAGAAGGCTATTAATTAATTTCATGGCTATAAGTGATGGAAGTCCCATGTTTTTGAAGGTAATTGATGCAACTAGTGAGTATAAAGATAGATTTTACATGGCTGACTTGATAAAGAAAGTGGTTGAAGAAGTGGGGCCTCATAAAATTGTTCAAGTAATCACTGATAATGCACCTGTTTGTAAATCTATTGATAAGATGGTGGAAGATGAATATTCTCACATCTTTTGGACACCATGTGTGGTGCATACACTTAATCTTGCTTTGAAGAATATGTGTAGCAAAAAATACAAAGGCAAATGAAATTTTTTATGGAGAATGTCGTTGGATCATTGAGGTGACAGATGATGCAGTCTTCATCTGAACATTTATCATGAATCATTCTATGAGATTGGCCATGTTTAATAAATTTATGCCATTAAAGTTTCTTGCAATAGTCGAAACAAGATTTGCATCAACAATTGTGATGTTGAAGAGATTCAAACTTATCAAAACTTCTCTTCATACACTGGTTATTAGTGAAGAATGGAATGCTTATAGAGATGATGATGTTGGAAAGGCTGCTAATGTGAAAGACATAATTTTTAATGATCTTTAGTAGGAGAAGGTTGATTATATTCTCTCTTTTACTAAATCAATTTATGATATGTTGAGATTTGTTGGCACAAATAGACCCACACTTCATTTGATTTATGAGATGTGGGATTCAATGATAGAGCAAATCAAGGAATCAATATATAAGCATGAAAGAAGATCACTTTCTAAGTACTCTTCATTTTATGAAGTTGTTATTCTTATTTTTTATCATGAAATTCTTTTCTTTACCATTTTTACATCACAACTCCAATTGATGTTATTATATTATTGTAGATATTATACAACACAATGGCTTGAAGGTGGACCAAATAGAGTCTCTTCACATAGAGATGTTGAAATATCAACTGAGAGGAAAAAGTGCTTTATAAGGATGTTTCTAGATGAAGAAGAGAGGAAATTGGTTATGAATGAATTTTTAAAGTTTTATGGATATTCAGATGAGTTCTCTTTTGTTGATTCCATGCAAGATAGATGGACATTAGAGCCTAAAGTTTGGTAGAGCAATCATGGTGCTGATGCTCCTAAACTTCAAGAGACTGCATTGAAACTTCTCAATTAACCATGCTCATCATCTTGTTGTGAAAGAAATTGGAGCACTTACTCTTTTGTTCATTCACTGAAGAGAAACAAGATGCTTTCAAAAAGAGCAGAAAATTTAGTTTTTGTTCATTCAAATCTTTGTCTTCTTTTAAGAAAGAGTGAAAAGTATTCCACTGGAGAAAGTAGATTGTGGGATATTAGTGGAGATTGTTGGAAATAGATGATTGTAAAAATCTTGAAGTTGCAATTTTATCTCTAGATAAGCTAATTTGGAGAGAGAACTTATAGGAGAAAGTGGTGGTGTCAATGAATATGGGGAAGATTAGAATTACTTTAAATTGATAATTATCTTTTGCCACTTGGTAGTATTTAAGTGCTTAACTACTTATTGTGTTATATTTTGTGATGGTATTAGACATCTTGAAATTGTATTTTTAGACATCCAAATATTTAATATTTAATTATTTATATAGCCGTACTCGTATCCTAAAATTTTGAAAAATTACTATGCCCACGTATCGTATTGTATCGTGCCTAATACTTGTACCCGTATCGATGCTTCTTAGTCAAGAATGCATCATACTTCTGTCTCTTAGTTGATCCACAAGAGCTTGAAGAACACCCAACTCCATCAGCATCAAGCACCATTGCAAGGATTCGGAATCTGAGCCCAAAGTAAGGGATACAAAGTAAGGGACACTTTTTTTTTTTATGTGATTTTCTTTTGGATAAGAGTCAGTAAGGGATACTGAAGACAAAAGAAAGTGAACAAATTTTTGTAAATATCCCATTACATACAAATTTTCCCGTCTGTTGGAGTTTGAAAAAGAAAAATAATCTTCAGCAGATCACACAAAAGGTCCCAAATCAGCAAATAATCCATTTTACTGAAGTAAAAATGACTATAGACTTCAACATTGACTCTTACGGCAAATTAATTCACCTAGATAAATAAATTAAATGGAAATAGAATATGTGTATTTATGATCGATAAGCAATCTTTATATATATATATATATATATATATATAATGTAAGAGGCAATTGGACTGCGAATGATGTTAACGTTGCTAGTACTATATAAAAAGACGCATGAGATATCCATAAAAAAAGTAAAATAAATAAATAATGATGATATGCCTACAGTACCTAGAATCATTTATTTCAATTTTAAGCGTTTTGCAAGAAATGTTTGGATGTGCAGTCCTAAGAGTGGTTTAGTTTGGGATCTATTTGATTTTTTTCTTCTAATTGGTTTAGTTTAGTTTTTGAGTGGTTTGATTCGATTTGAATTAAGTTTAAGTTTTTTAGATATATTTCATAATATATATGTATATATATGAATATTTACTATTAATTTTTAACTATTAAATAGTATTGATTTTGAATGAAAATAAACTCGAGAACAAAAGAGTTTTTTTTTTTGCAATTATTTATCATGTTTTACTATTAAAAACTAATATGCTATTATAAAAAATTATACATAACATTTAACTCATTGTAACATATTTTTGACTAGTAGTTTATAGATAATAAATTTGGGAAAGAAAAAAATTTATAAAAATTTATAAAAATATATACAATAGATATAATAGAATTTGGTTTGGTTTCATTCAAGTTTCAAGAGGCAAAAACTTAAACCGAATCAATACAATTAGTTTGTCAAAAAAAAAAAAAACCTTATTTATAGTCAATTTTGATCTGTTCATTTTGGCTTAGATCAGTTTTGTCAACAAATCTACCCGGATCCATCACACAATTCCAAGGCAAAACAGAATGAAATCAATTTGACTTAAGAATTAGAAAACAAAATAACAGAAACTTCAACAAGCAGTAGTGTATTCAAGACTCTGTTCGATCCCACAAAAACACTCTTCAGGAATAGAAAATTTGACAGATGGATCTAAACATAAAAATAATGATTTCATAGAATAGATCTAAAATAGGAACCTGAAGGATGAATCAAATAAAGTTGAGGCCAATAAGTGTTGTGTTTAGTCTTCAGTCTCTGATGATCTGCAAAATCTACGAGGCCAGTGCTTGCGTGTGTTTGTAGATGAAGCTCCAAGCTATGGCATATATAAGACTCGGTCCCAAGTAGTCGTCGTCGTCCAAGTCAGACCAATCCTAAACCTCGTGACTGTGTCCCTCTTCGCAGAACTTTCATTTTGTGAATACTGAAAGTTCAAGCAAAATGGCGTGCGTACACCTTTGATTGTCATCCAGCTGTCTCTAACTCTATATAATATTTCTTTTGGTAAATGTCTTTATGTAACATTTTAATATGAATATATATGAAGCAGTGGTGTGAGGTCGAGTTCTTTTTTTCCCCCAAGGTGTATTTGGATTAAATTTACAAACTTAAACTTTATGAATTAAAGTTAAATTAAAATTTACTTTAAGGTCATTTTTATCTTTTCCACTTATACGAAGATATTGACACCAAAGTACCAAGGAAAGACGAAATATTTTAATGAAGAATCATGGGACTTGGAACTTTTGTCCAATTATTCAGAATCCCTTCCCCTTATATTTTGATTGTTTAATGTTTAATATAGGACCCATTCTTCTATATGATGGACCCTCCTCTCAGGAAATTTTTGCCGGACAATTCGATCTATTTCCTCTGTGGCCTTCAAGAAAATTCAAAGGTCATATGCATATAATAATGGAAGCCACAGAGGCGGTGGTGCGATGACCGTGCCGCACGCTCATCTCCTAAAAGGTGATCGGACCCTTTTATTTTCCTCCTTAAACGATCTGCTATTGATTTTAAATTATTTCTTAAATATCTTTAATAATTTTATATTAAAAATTTTAATATTAAATATAGACTGTCAAGTATATCTAGATAGTTAATTTGTAAAATTATAAAAAAATTTAATATTAAATTAGAACTTTCAAATTATATATTCTGTATAAGTACATTGGATAGTTAATTTGTAAAATATATTAAAAAATAATATTAAATTTGATCATCTAGATTGAATCTGTACTTGCCAAGTTAGTGATAAACAATTTTATTAAAGATCTCTATATATTTTTACATATTTTTATTTAAATAAATTTAAAATAAAAATAAAAAAAATTTAAATATGAACTGTCCAAATCTCATCAAGGGATAATGACAACCATGGCACTTATCTTCTAATATGCATAAAAACATAGTCCACATTTAATATTAAAATATAATTTTTATATATTTCTTATTTTGATAAATATAATATTAATAAATATGCTCATCAATATAACATTCTATATTTAATATGAATGGTTCAAATTTAATGTTAGAAATTTAAATTGACTTTTTAGATATATTTTAGACAGTACAAATATGCTCTGGATAGAATAGTCAACTTATTAAAAAAATTTAATATTAAATTTAAATCATTCATATTAAATTTGAACTGTCTAAATTGAGTGAGCAGATTTATTAATTTTTTATAATTTTTATATTTTATTTTAATAAATATAAATTTAAAATATTAAATTTAGATATTCAGATAAAATTTGAACAATTCAGATTTACTCCTCCCATTCTTCCTACCGGAGGGAAAAGACTCCATCAAACTGTGTGATACTTTTCATTGCTTTTTTGGCTTTTTCACCTTTTACTTTTTCAGACTGTTTATATATTAATATATTCTTAATGCTGAATCCTAGCACCACACTTCCCCTTCTATTTTTATTGTACTATTCAAAACACATTCTTTTACATTTAATTCATTTGTCATATACTTCTGTATACTTTGATGTGTGACGTGAAAAAATAAATAAGTTTCTAACAATTTTAAATTGTTTCACCTTTTTATATGTAAATATCTTATCCTCAAATACAACAAGTAAACTAGTAAAACATATTTTCAATCATAAATAACCTAAAAAAAATAAATTTTCGTACCAATCTAGTGTCATTGTGTTTAGAGAAATAAATCCGTTGATAAAAGGTTAGGTGACATATCTTTTAAAAGCTTCAATAACGATTTTTGACAAAAAAAATCAGATTTAAAATTTTAATTGGACCCTCTAAATTAATATTAAATTGGACCCTCTAAATTAAATTTAGACCAGATTAAAAATAAAAAATTTATTAAAATATTTTATAAATTTTTATTTTAATAAATATAATATATAATGATATAATAATAATACTTAAAATTTGGACCATCCAGATTAAAATTTGGATGGTCCAGATATTATCTCAAACATGAGCACATGGAGCTCATTCTTGAGATGAGTAGGGAAACCAATTTCGTACAGGATGTCAATGCTTCTCAAAAGAAGGTTCAAAAATAAAATACACCTTATAATCCTTTATAATAAATATTATTTTCTTCAGTTCTTAACAATAATTTTCCCTATATTTGATTTGCACTGACGGGTTGAACTCTAGCTAGTCACAAAATTATTGAAAGAAAATAGATAAAAAATTTAGAGCAAAGTATTTTGGAGTCAACCCAAGTTTGCTGCAAGCAATTGAAGGAAAATGGGTAAAAAATGAGTCCTAACCACGTTGCTTTAACTTGCCTTGCCAAACTTTTTTTTTTTAACACAAACTATGTGAGACTTTAATTTTTTATTTTGGATGAATATATAACTAAAATACTCTTGAAATGCGCAAATAACAATAGTTATTGCAAAATATGATAAATATTGTATAGTTTTTAGGGACTCGTTTGGATTTTTTGTTTTCTCCACCAAATGACATTTTGCCCCTAATTTAAATGCTTTCACTTATAAATCGATCACATCTACACTTATCAATTTTGTAATTTTTTTTGGGAACTTGTAAATATAAAAAATCAACTTAAAATTGTATGTGAAAATTATAAATAATAATATTTAAATTATTATAAACTAAAGTATTAAAATTTTAATAAAATATTATTAAAACAAATATAATATTTTTTATAATTACATACCTGTGTTTAGGGGTATTCATGAGAGTCTCATCTCAATTGGCCCATCTCCGTATCAACATGAGACAAAATTACACTTAAGACGGGACGAGACATGAGTTTGTGTCGAGATGTTTCATCCCAAGCGAATAGGTATCTATACCATTTTTTTAAAGAAAATGTGTTCTTTACTTTAGGTTTGTAATTGTTGTAATTCAATAATTAAATTTAAGTTGTATTTGTTTGTATTAGAGATGGAAAATTTATCTCATCTCATTGCAGATAGTGTGAATAGTGGGGTGTGGAAGCCATTGAAGATGGGAAGAAGGGGGTGCTTGTTTCCCATTTAATGTTTGCAGGCGATTTGTTGCTATGTTGTGAAGCTGATGTGGCCAAAATTAGTAATGTTATGGATTTTTTGGAGAAGTTTGGACAGATTTCAGGTTAGAGGGCGAATGGTAAAAAGACAAGTGTGTTTTTTTCTAAGAAAGTAGGATGAAGCAGATGGAGGAATTGGAGCGTTATTTGGAGGCTTCAATCGTGAAGGGAAGGAGTACAATGCGGAAGTTTCAATTTCTTATTGATAGAATGCAGAATAAGATGAGCAGCTTGAAGAAACAGTGTTTATCACTAGCAAGAAGGCTAACCTTGGTACGCTCGCTTATTGGTCAAATGGCTATATATCAGATGCGGAATGCCCGCATTCCTGCAAGTGTGTGTCAGCAGTTAGAAAGGATTCAAAGAAACCTTATATGGGAAGCGATGAAGGATAAAAGGAAGGTGCATGTCTTGAGCCGGGACATTTGATGCTCTCCAAAAAGTATGCGGGGGGTTTAGTTTAAAGGATTTAGGGACCAAGAATGATGCTTTTGTTGGGGAAGATAGGTTAGCAGGTTATTGCGAAGCCTCAAAGTTAATGTGCATGAGTTTTGCGTGGAAAGTACAACAACGTGCTGATCTAACAAAGGAATGCGTTGTGAAGAATTCTGACTCAGAAATGTGGAAGAATTTGGCCAAGTTTGGTTGGTAATATAACGTGAGATGTTAGGGATGGTGAAGGGGGTGAACTTCTGGACTGATGTTTGGGTGGATGGTGGTTTGAGGTTGATTCAAAAGCACAAGACGGAGTCACCTGTTGAGTGGCTGCACGCAAAAGTCGGAGATATTTTTCATGTTAGTGGAGAATGGAGGATGGATTGTTGAAGAATGTCTGACGTTGGTTCTGTATTTTTTTTTTCTTTACAGAATAAGTAGTGGCTGAAGTTGGATTAGGGGATTTGCAGGAATTTGGGTCGTTGCTCAGCTGTCAAGGCTGAATTGTGGGGTGCTTTAATTTGACAGGTTTGCAGATAGCAATGAGCATGAGTGTACAAAATTTAATTGTTGAGAGTGATTCTACTTCTGTTGTGAATATTCTGTCTAAAGTTGCTGAGGGGGATGTTATAAAGTGGTCGCACGTTGAAGCAGATTTGTAGAATACTGAGTTATTTTTGTAGGTGAGGATTAAGCATGTGTATAGGGAGGAAAATATGAGTACCGATTGCTTAATTAGCTAAGATGAGCATTCACTTGGCCCATGGGGTGGTGTTTTTGAACACCTGCGGAAGTGGGGGATTTCTTGTTCAGGATGCGGTGGGACTGGGAGTGGCTCTCCTGTTTTAGATTTGTTGTATTTTTTTTTTTGGGCTTAATTTTTATAAAAAAATTGTGTACTTTTGATTTAAGATTGTTTATTTATGTTATTTTGGACGTAAGAAATTGAATTTAAATCATTTGAAGTTGAGTGTGGTGAATTTAGATAAAGTTTTCTCTTTTTAATATCTCCACTCATTTTATTATTATTTTAAAACAATATAAAATATTACCTCTCTTTATTAAAAAGGAGAATTCACCTAAATTGACCAAATACATTTGAGAGGATCTAAATCCTAAGAAATTATATAATTTGATAAATGTGGTGTTGTGTTCACTTAAGTTATGTTTTTGGTCTCTTATGATTGACTTATTGTATTAGTTTTATTATCACCTTGTGGTTTTATGTTAGTTTCAGGTAAAAAAAAAAGTGCAATTAATTATTTAGAATTTGAAAATCTAGATGCCATTATAGATGGTAGTTACTTAATTCTTATTTTTACATCTCTCTCTTTTACTCTTTATCTATTTTTTAGTAATGTTGTTGCCAACAAAAGTGATTCAATAATCACTTCTAGCTAGTCAATTAAAATGATATTTTGATATTTTATAGGGTGGGGTGGGGTGCAAAAATGCATATCAAGTGGTTGGCCAAGAGCATCTAATAGCTTAAAGTGAGAAAAAA